TATTTTGTTATAGTATCTTCCAGTAGAGTTGTGAAACTGGTAGTATGAGGTTTTGGTGATATACATCTCAGAATCGAAAGGTCTGGCATAGCTGCGTCCAACATATGGAAACATTCCAGTAACATCACTAACATGGGATACCCACAGCGACTGTCCGAGTGTTCTTGGGGTGCAATGATAATCTAATGATATTTTTTACTAATTTCTTCCAGCTTTAGCATGAGAGTGGAAAGTACGGTAAAACACGATACGTAGTTTGTTTTCTGAGCATTCAGGCATCATGTTTTACCGCACATTTGTGGAAATAAATGTCACATAGACACTTTGCAGACATTTTTTTCTGATCCAAATTTTGTGGCCAGGATTTTACATGTATACTAGTATTAGTGCTATTGCCCTTGCATCTAAAGTAGAGCTTGCCGAGACTAACAGTTACTGGTTCTCGCTGTTTCTAGAGAACTGTCAAGTAAACGCTTTACTTTTCCAGGCCTTCATGGCTTCACTCGTAAATTCGCTTACTCACAGATATCATACGTTCAAAGTTTCTCAAGTAATTTCTCATTTTCACTTAATTTCGATTCCAGATATGACATCGATTCTCGATCCAGCAAACTTACGGATCACGATTTTTTGGGGCGTGTCGAGACAACTTTGGCTCAAATTGTTGCTGCTCAGTTTTGTCGACGGACGTTTACACTCTCGTACTTTCTTTGTTATTTCAAAAATTTTAAAACAATCAAAATACAACAACGGCTCTCTCTCTCCCGCTTTGCTATGTTTGTATTTACAGCTAAACACGTGGACAGTCTCTTGTTATTCTTCGTTTGCTTATCGTTTAGTTACCAGTCCTTATGATCTGTTTGCTGACATAGTGCCTCACTGTGGGCAAGAACTGGCAATGTTTGGAAGTTATTTTGCTCCATATACACATCAGTGGTATTCTGAAACGGCTAAAGTATTGCCAAGTACTTCTAGTGGGAGAATAGTTGTTCTTATAAATCATTTCAAGAGACTAAATAAACATCAATATCGCTAGCAGGCTGACCATCAGGAGGCTCACCATTGGTCAGAGCAACTGAAAATTTGCTAAATGCATAGATATCGAATGACGCTTTGAACTGTAGCTGATTAAATTTGCAAAAATAAGTATTTTTCAGGGGTGTCAAGCATAAAAAAGCACAGGGTGAACTGACCGTTTATGCAACAGAAAGTGATGATGGAGCAAATGAGAAAGTACGGCTGGTCTGTTCAGGCGTAAAGCTCGAAAAAAAAGATCTGATTGGAAAGTGCGATGCATTCCTGCAATTCTATAAAGTTAATGAGGATAAAACGTAAGTGCTTTCAAATGTATGTTTCGGAGATTCAGTGGCAAAGTACTTTAGTTTCTCAGTAGCAAATTTTAGTCTGGCACATACTTAGCAGTCAAATCCGTCATCGGCTTGCTTGCAAGCAATTCTTAAATGAGGAAGCCATCGACAGCCTTGCCAGCGGGTGATTGTTCTAGGCATTTCACTATTACTCAAGCTGTTTCTGAGTATCTTTGCTTCTTGTAGAGAGCGAAGAAAAAAATTTTGACTTTGATTTTGAAATAAGAATCATTAGCTTATTCTTGATCATTTTACGAAAAAAGAGCCAAAAATTTCAGGTTTTTTCCTGCACCATAGTTTTTTTTTTTCGTTTTTTTTTTAATTTACACGTAAATCATTCTTTTTTGAGAGAGAGAGCTTTTCAAAGTTCTAACATCCCCCTACTTTTTTTGCAGTTCTGTAGTTGTCGAATAGGACAAAAAGCAGTTTTGTCTATAAAGACTAAAAAAAATCAAGACCGCCTAGACAGTCGATACAAGGATCCCGTCTTAATGATTTCACTAAAGTATTTCCACATGGGTTTTTTTTAACTTAAAAATGAAATTAATTGACATGAATTAAAGGATCCAACTGGCACATCGCACAGAAGTGGTGAAGAAAACACTGAATCCAAAGTGGGCTCCGATTGAAATCTCTCTGCTTCAACTATGCGGCCAGAACGAGAAAAGGTTTCGTAAAATTTTTAGCTTTTTACTTTTTTTTTCGCTTTTCGATTTTGTGTACTATCATTCCCAGCCAACACGGACAAGTATGCCAATGCGTCGTGAGTCAGTTTTTCTTCAGGCCGAGAGCTTGTCCAGCGCAATTGGTCAAGCATCGGGCCTGCTTAAAACTTTCTCTGTATTCACTCTTTACGAAAAACGTGTCGCTCTATTTTTTCATGGTTAGCCAAGCATCCACTACTGTATATAATTGCAGGGCAATACGAATTACATGCCATAATTACCGCAAAAACGGAAGGTAAGTTTCTATTTTTTGACCATTAATTAAAGCACAAAGCAGGTACATCATGTCTTAACGCGTGGTAGCATCACAGGAATAAAGTTACAGCTTCATTCATTATCGGCCAATTAATCGTAGGAACTCCGGAAAAAATGTCATCCCAGTAAAATATGCTAAAATTGATCTGAAAACAAAATTGAAAAGTTTTTGACGAGGGAACGATT